TGTAATTAGGTTCATTTTAAACAGGAACGCATTGACAGTGCGACTACTTTGAATATTCTTATTTTGGCATTGCATACAGTGAAATGATTGTGAGTGAAAAATGACACAAAATAGTGACATATTTACACACATATTTTTAAACATATTTAATACAGATAAATAAAGGTTCATTCTGATCTTATTCATCAGATCTCACACACACTGCAGCGTCGCGATTACTAGTTTAGAGCACTGACACCCTGTGGTGAAACAACCACATATGTTTACGAGCCACTGCTTTATCAGATCAGCTTATGTTGGATTAAAACTTAAAGTTTGGTTGAGTTTGGAAAATTCTGCAAACAGTAATCATCAGAATATCTCTTCTCCTGTCTCTGAAAATGTCCGGATTTTGAAATCATCCCGCTGACTCTCATTTTAATAGGCATTTAAGTCAACTAGATGATTACGGCACATTGAAAATATACATAACCGGAAATAACTGAGCTGTATTATTTCAAAACGGAAGTGCGTCACGAGGCTCAGTGGAAGTAGTCCATTGTAACACTCAATAAATGTAACAATGAAATTGAGTGTTTCGATTGCATCTGGTTGTTTTATGTGTGAGATGAGCTTAAGAGAGCCAGAAAGAGATGCAGGAAGAATGAGAAGTACACTTGAGTGTGTAAATCCAGTTATCAAAAAAATGACTATGAAGTGCATATCTGCAGCAGTTTGTGTGTGACCTAATGTGACGGAAGACAAACAGCACAAGTGTGTGTGAGCATGTCTCTTTGTCTTTGTAGTATGAATGTCATGAGAAATGCTGTGTTGATGAATCTTTGGGTTTTAATGCTCTCATATATGTTTGTTAGGGCTGTCAATCAAATCACACATTTCTTTTGAATTAATGTAATCAAATTAATTATATGATAAGCTTACTACTTAGTCAACTGCAAATAACTGTATTTGCTGAAATAAGACCCCAGATAAAAGCATTCAAGGACTGTTGTAAGCTTCAAGTTTTTAAGTGTCTGATGCTCACCAAGACTGCATTTATCTGATCAAAAATACACTTTTTTTAATCTGAATATATTTTAATATGTAATTTATTCCTGTGATGGCGAAGCTGAATTTTCTGCAGCCATTACTCCAGTCTTCAGTGTTCAGTTCTTATTATTGATGTTGAAAACAGTTTGAAAATGAAGTTCAAAAGAACAGCCTTTATTTGAAATAGAAATTTCTGTATCACTGTAAATGTCTTTACTGTCACTTTTAATCAATTTATTGTGTCCTTGCTGAATGAAAGTGTAAATTTATTTTTAAAAATCTTACCGAACCCCAAACTTTTGAACAATAGTGTGTTTTTTGTTTTATAGTTAATTGTGCTAAATGAACATGTTAAATTGACAGCTCTAATGTTTATCTAACAAGACAATTAGTGGCTCAATAGCTACAATGATTAACAGAGAGGTCTGCTTTTACACAGGGCAGTATAATCTTTCTATTATGCCACAGCAGTGTTGGTTGTCCTTGAAATGCCTCACAGAAACAGAGGGAATACAGAGAAAAAGAGAGTGAGGGGAAGAAAATGCTTCTTGCTTGAATGGATTTGTTGGCCTTTGTATATGTCAGTGTTTTGACATCTTCTGAATGAGTTACATTACAATAACTCAGAATTAGTCCAGCATACCCAGATATGTCTGGTTGATGGCGACAACGACAGACGTGGATTACTCTTGGCAAACTTCTTGTGCAACAGCCTCACCACTTTCCTCATTACCACACACAGACTTTTCTAGACGTTTATTTCAATCATTGCTCATCAGTCTGTATTCTCATCTGTATTCTTCAAAAACCCAATGGGGACAGCAGACTGGTACACTGGTCCATTTGTAACAAAACTTAAAGAGACACAAAAATGAAATTTCTGTCAGCTACTTGTTACAAACCCATATGACACTCTGTTTTTTGGGTGCACTATTCCATTACACCATTAGAGAACTTTGATTTAGTATGTAAAGTAATTGATTCCTGAGTATGACTGGGTATGACGGAGTATAACTCTTTCTTTTTTCCACTAAAGGGGTCAATTGAAGAACGTCTGAAACAGTTGCAAGATGCCCATAGAGATTTTGGACCCGGATCACAGCACTTCCTTTCCAGTAAGTGTGTTAACTCATTTGAAGCCATAGAATCTTCTGCTGGAGTGTGATGCTGAACACAGAGAGAGGGGTGAGCTGATGGAGCTTAGCGGAGACGGGTTGGCAGGACTGTGTTTAAATGGGCAGGGTGGTCTGTGACTTTATTCATTCTCGCTGTCACTTACTGCCCGGTCTAACATTGCAGGACAAAGACAGTGCCTGCTACAGAGTTAGCCTCATTTAGAAGTTGTCCAAACTTTTCTGGCTCTCTAAATCACTACAAATCAGTACTACATTGCAACCCTAAATGAGGACACAGGGAATGGCAGTTGCAAGTGACATTCCAAGAAGTGTCGTTGCACTCAAGATCAGATTTGGGACTTTGTCTCGAGTCCAAGTCCAAGACCATATTTTCATTGTCTTGGTCTTATCATGGACTCGGGAGCATTTGGACTCAGTTTGGGCTCAGATTTGACCCTCAGTAATGAATGAGGCTCCTTTAAGTGTTCACAACTGAATTTTAAAGCTGCATTGTCTTTTTACATATACACTGAACAAAATTATAAACGCAACACTTTTGTTTTTGCCCCCATTTTTCAGGAGCTGAACTCAAAGATCTAAGACTTTTTCTATCTACACAAAAGGCCTATTTCTCTCAAATATTGTTCACATCTCTGTGCATTCAAAATGCCATCAATAAAATGCACCTGTGTTCGTTGTCCATAACATACGCCTGCCCATACCATAACCCCACTGCCACCATGGGCCACTCGATCCGCTCACCCACACGACGCCATACACACTCTCTACCATTTGCCCTGTACAGAACACCTCTCCAAAGTGCCAGACGCCATCGAATGTGAGCGTTTGCCCACTCAAGTCGGTTACGACGACGAACTGCAGTCAGGTCGAGACCCCGATGAGGACGACGAGCATGCAGATGAGCTTCCCTGAGACGGTTTCTGACAGTTTGTGCAGAAATCCTTTGGTTATGCAAACCGATTGTTGCAGCAGCTGTCCGGGTAGCTGGTCTCAGACGATCTTGGAGGTGCAGGAGTGATGAAGCCCCCTAAACAGAGTCCAGAATGACCTCAGTGACTGTATAGTTCTCGGTTTTCACCATTTGTATATCATAGCACATCAGTGTTTGACCTTAGGGGTTCCATATAAAGAGGTTTGCAAAGCTTCACTCACAGAAAAGCTTTCTACCAAGGTGCTGCTGTTTAATAGCCTCTCCGTGTGGAAGCAGTATGCTTGAAGGGCCTTGAGCGGTGCCGTTTGAGATTTTCAGAATAGCTTTTCATGCTCGACATGTCTGTCTGATTGATATTGCCCTCTTTCTTTCTGTCACTTTAGGCTCTGTGCAGATTCCTTGGGAACGTGCCATATCCCCCAACAAAGTGCCATACTACATCAAGTAAGTCCAGCCGCAGGGGTGTGCCATATCGCGATTTTTGATCATGGACGATTAAAATGTTTCCACGATCTGCTTTTGAAGAAATATAGTAGTGTTGCGCTACAGCGCATGTTCTATCAGTTGCAGTTCTGGCGCCTCCATCTCAATATACTGTAAAACGCAACATACATCCACATCAAATGTTAACAAAGCGGTAGAGTTACACTCATGGGACACTATGGGTTAAACATATATATAAAAAAATTGTGATATGATATTTTTGCCATATCGCCCACCCCTATCCAGCCATAAAGCATCAGTGTCAGAAACGAGAGACTGTGTAAAACTGTGGGATGAGCATGTCAGATTATCAGGTATAGAGAGCAAACTCATTACTGATCCCTGGTGCAGAAGATTATTGCACTGTGATCTAAAAAGATAACAACATTTCAACTGTGGCGTTCCTTTTGTCACGTGGCCTTTTGCATTTTTAGTGATTTGAGTTTATAAATGGCACAATAGAGTGTTGTGTGGGGAGTGCAGAGTCGAGAAAGAAGGTCTGTAATATTTCTGTTAGAACTGCTTAAACTATGAAGTTTTTGTTAATTGTTATAAAGTATAATAAAATATAAATATTAAATAAAAAGCTTAAACTCACTTACATTAGGAATGTTGCCTTGGCAGCTAACTGCAATAAACAACAACAGGTTTAAGTTGAAGTACTAAAATTACTAAAAGTGAAATTAAAATAAAAGATAAATAAATATAAATATATATTAAAATATATTATAGAAATGACACAAAAACATAAAATTACTAAAACAAACTAAAATTAAAATGAAAACTGAAAAAAAAAAATAAATACAATAATAGTATTATTTATAAAATATTATAGTATTTATTCATGTTTTGAATGCCATGAAGTGCCATGTGACTAATCTCTGAAGTCACAGAAAATGATGTCATGATGGTCATAGTGAACAAGCCACAGGATGAAAATTATGCAACTGAAGGTTTACATATCATTAACCAATCAATGTAAACGATAGTGCAGGTAATGATGAGTGAGTGAACAGCTAAAAAAAACTGCCCTTTTCAGACCCCCTCACTTATTTATTTGTTCCAATGATTTACTCCTCTGATAGTTTTTTTCATGGCTGCTGGTGCTGTAGAGGAAGGCATGAGTACAGGTTGTTGTTGCAGTAAAGCATGCAGCACACATGTATCGGCTTTGTGGAGACACTCTTACTGTTCATGCCTGTTCGTCAGATTTGAATTTAAGCTATGTTTAGCCATGAGCTTTACTTTGAATGTCATCAAGACAGCTCTTGTGGATATAAGCACTTAATGGCTCTGAGATCTTTGTTCAAGATCACTGTGATTGTGAGTACTCTCTCTCTCTCTCTCTCTCTCTATATATATATATATATACTGTGGCTATTTACTATCTAAATCTAGTTGAATTATCAAAAGCTTTTTACCATAAAATGTACTGATAAGCACTTTATTAATGCAGCTGGTGAAATAAAAAGGCACATAATGAATTAGAGTTCATCATAAGAGACTTTTCCATAAAACATGGACAGTCATATACAGACGGTGCACACACAAAGACAAAGCAGCATCAGGGTAACCAACTCAATCTCATGCAAAACCCATTTTGCGAGGTGCTAAATTTGTATGAATTCCTCTTCACCACCCCTAAACATAACAGTCACTGTGGTGTAAGCAGATTGTGTGAGAATGTACAAATTCATACAAATTAGCCACCAATTCACTAAAAGTTAATAATTGCCATGAGTTTGTGTAACACACAACACACACACACACAAATGCTATAAACATTAACTAAATAACAGAAAATGTGTCACAAAACATGGCAGTGTACATTACTGATAGCAAAAATAAGAAGAAACAAAATTATTCATATAAAATATAATCATATGTGCTGTGTCACACAGGGACTTTTGGGAACTTGCTGTTTTTCACTGTAATTTATACAGAAGTTTGTAGTTTTTTACTTCCAAAAAAAAACATAAATTTGACTGGATTTTACTTTAAAATTACATATAATGTGATATTAAACCAACAGTTTTTCAATGTACGGTATGTGGTTAGGTTACAAGTTAACCAATTGACGGATTTTATTTTATTTATTTATATTTATTTAAATTTTTTTGGAAGAAAAACCAATGATTTTGTATAAACCACATTTTTTACCGTGTCCTTAAAGGGTTAGTTTACTTAAATTATGTCTGAATTTAAATTTTAATGCACCCTCCCCCCCTCCAAATCCAAAAGGGGTTTTTGTTCTATTGCAAAAGGTGAAAAGCTGTTCCTGTGTGCGTCGTAGCCATTTGCTAAATTTGAATATGCAGAAAGCTGCAGCAGATGGGAAATTTTTCAGTCCATAATGATTAAAATTTACATTTGTGTTGCATCGAAGAAACAAAGTCATGTTGGTTTAGAGCGGCATGAGGGTAATAAATAATGAAAGTAAGAAATAATGAAATGAGTAAATAATGACAGAATTTTCAATTTTGGGTGAACTAGTCCTTTAATGTTTCTCTGTCTATGTTTTTTTTCTATTTTTAGCTTCACTGCTCTTACTTCGCTCTTTTTCTCTTCCCTTTTGAAGCCATCAGGCTCAGACAACCTGCTGGGACCATCCAAAGATGACTGAATTATACCAAACTCTGGGTGAGGCAATTAAACACAATTAAACTCTGCTCTTATATCTTCTATGTGTCTACTTCCCACTGGGGAACCGTAGTGCGGACATACACAAGCTCAAATACACCAACTAGAAGATGGTCTCACACTGAGCTCGATTTCTTTACCTGGACCTCTCATTATAACCTAATATTTCATCCCACCCTAGAGATGTCGACAGCTCTCTCGTTAACCCAAGGGCAGCTGGGCCAACCTTACGAATGCTTTGCCAACTTCTAATTAACGATAATTAAATGGTGTTTACTGTGTGAGTTAATCTGATGCGACATGACGCAGGTTGTCCAAACTCTCTGGCACAGCATGAGCACAAACCCCTCAACCCCACTGAAGTGACACATTGCTTCCTGTCTCTCTGTTTGCTAATGTCAGAGCGCAGCTATTCATTTGCTGCTTTTTTCTCTCCTCATGAATGATATTCTCTCTTTTTCCTCTCCCATCACCCCTGCTGCTCTCTCACAGCGGACCTGAACAATATCAAGTTCTCTGCATACCGGACGGCCATGAAGCTGAGGCATGTGCAGAAGGCTTTAAGATGTATGTAAAAAGAAGCACCCACACTGGTTTGCCCTTTTCCCTCTACTAAGTCATCGATTATTCACGAAATTTCGTATACAGAGCTGGCCCTGCTGTGCGCCTCTGTTCTGTCTTTTTCATTAAAGCCCAGTGATTTTTATGCAGCTTAATTAAGCCTAATAATTGGTGTGATTGTACTTCTTCGGGGGAGGTAATTAAGAAGTCTGCGTGAGGAATTAACCACTGTTCCCCCTGCGACATGCTTTGCGGTTGGAGGTTTATCTGCCAATGTCCAGACAGGAGCTTTCTCTTGTTGGCAGTTCCCTTCTTTTCTTCATCCTCTTCACTGTGCACATAATATAAATATAAATGTGTCCGTGTAGGTTGGTTTTACACTTTCAAGATCCATTCAAAAATAACATGGCACTGAAAAAAATCTGTTATAATACAATGAAATATTTGTGATTTATGTGTTGCTTGCAAAAGATTTTATTTCCTCATAATACACAGCTACCCCTGAATGTCCATCAACAGTAAAATATGCTTTTTGCAGGAAACTGATGTAGCTGTATAACATCTAGTCAAACTTTGACTCCTCTGTGGAGAGCTTTGAACCCATTGGGTTATTCTATAAAACTGGTGCCTTTCCCCTTTTGATAAGCTGATTTAATCAAATAATCAAGTAAAATTGTCTTTTTCAGCTATTACTGAAATGCATTGTACCATCTCAAGCTAAACACACACACACACACACATACACACATATAGAACATAATTATGTCTACAGAATGTTTACAGGTTGATGGTTTTACAGTTTAATTTGACAGTGCAAACCTTTGACTCAAGGTTGTGAAACTAGGTGCTTGTTTTCTACAAATTTTCTTCAAGGTAACAGGTTTAAGGTTTTCCTCAACTGACAAATGTCAGAACAAATGAGAAGTGATAGAGGAGACTTGTCCTTGAAAAGTTCACATCTTTAAAGCATAATGCCATGTACAAAATATAAAAGAAATCTCAGAATTTCAAAGCATTTTTATTAGTTAACATTAACAAAAATATAACACACACACACACACACACACACTATATGGCGAAAGAGAGAAACAAATAAAATAATTCCTTGTTTTTGTAAATGTTTAGAAATATGTCTGTAATAACAGTAGAAGTTCAGCATCAGCTGTTATTTATTTATTTGTTTATGTATTTATTTTTTACACATATGTGCATGAAGCAAAACAGATGGCACCTGTTTTGTAGAATCATCCTCATGGAGAAAACATGTTCAGCGCTTCATAAGCAGGTTGAATCCACTACTGAGTATGGCATGTGCCTTTTAATGTCTCTCAGGACAAGTTACTGCTGGCTTGTTACTGTCTCTCTCTATCTCTCTCTCTCTCACTCACAGACACACACACATACACGCACTCCCGGTTTGCTAGTTCATGTCATTAAAGGCACAATATGTAATTTTCGCCGCTGGATGGATTTAAACATTCTTCGAAACATTTGGGTTAATGTAAGTACACAAGTCAGCAAAATATATAACACTGTTCTAGTGGTTTTTGGATATTTTAATAAAAAAAATCTTA